CCCCCCTAAGCCCCCCCCCCCCCCCCCCCACACACACCAGAGCCCCCTAACAGCATGGGCCAGATCCAGCCCACAGGCTATAGGTTGCCAAACCCTGGCCTAGATTTGTGATGTATCCTCCAATCTTGTAGCTATAGACAAACTGACGTAGCACACAGACCAGTAATCCTCAGGTTATGATGGAGAAGGGCCCTCAAAAGGTGAAGAGCTGTAAAACAAGGAGTAATATTTCTTCTGGTACCCTAATAACTACTCTGGCATCTTGGATAATGGACTGGAAAGATCCAAGCACCTAAAACTGACCTATCCCTCTCCCACACCTTTAATTCACTTCTTGAGAAATGGGTGAGGTATGGGCCATTGCATACAGCTGACTATGTCGTGTCAGGTCCCCCAGGGCCTCTCCTAGTTCCAGGAGCTGCAGCTTCATGCTGGCTGATGACTCTCGACTTAAGTGAGCAGCCCTTCAGTATGGTCTGGTCAAAGACATGTCTAAGATAGTTGCATTATTGTGGTAAGAGAGTTGGCTAGCATAGTAACAAAACCTTGGGTGAGGCTGGCCTCTCACACTACAAGCAACCAGAGTAGTGGTGTAACTGCCCCTGTCCTGGCTGAATACTGGGGACTGAACTGGGAGCTTGTGGAGCTGCTATAGTTTCCTGGCTCAGGGCTGGAATAGACAAACGTACTCTCTCTGGGTCAAGCACAATGGGGGGCCCTGTAACGGCTAGTCACCAGTCAGTTATAGTAGCTCATCCTGAAGTTGTAGGGGTGCAGTGACAGGCGCTAGAGAGGCACTGAGACACATGCTAACAAAGAAAACTGACTTGATACCAAAACCACATTACAGTGTGGCCAAATATGAAACCAGCATGAGAACAGAAGGGAGTGGAGGCAAGATTACTTGTGGATGATATCTTGTATTGGGCTGTATGGCTGGGATACATATAGGCAAGCCATTTGGGTATCACAGTACCCTTCCTCAGGCCTTCCAGGGAGAGAAGGGCTGGGGAAATGAGCCTGCCAATCGATGCCACGGTGCCGCTTGGAGGAGAGAAACAGTGAGGCTGGCAGCGTGGGACAAGAGCAGGTGGAGAGGAAGGGAAAGGCAGTCGGAGGACATAGACAGAAGCAGAGGGGCCTTGGCTGCATCTGGGCAGGAGCCAAAGGTACAATGATTATCTGCCTAGGACACTCTTAATGCGTCCTTCAAATCTGGTAGCTGAGAGGCCAGTGAAATGATAGAAAGGCACACAGAGGTGCATCGTTAGCTGCCTTAGCTTGCAGGCAGCAGGGAGACTGGCACCTTATAGACTAACCAAAGCGGAGGGACTCAGACACAGACACTTGTGGTTTCACAGGCTGAAGTTCTCCTCATCAGATGCTGTGCAAGGAGGCGCCCAAAGCAGCGCATAAGAAGTGGGGAACTTAGAGGAACGAGCACACATGCCTGCCCCTGCCTCTGCCCCTGCCCCTTGCAGCCAGCAGCCCGGAGTCAGCACCGACCAGTGTTAATGACCAAGACCCGACCAGCTGCTCCAGTGTCACTTGCATCCCGAGGGAACCAGCCACACTGGCACCCCAGGCACGGAGCCCCCCACCCCGGGCAACCCCTGCCGCTGGGCCTCAAGCCGCTGCTTATCCCCCTCGACCTGGGCCAGCAGCACAGGCGGGCTGCGCTCCCGGCTCTGCCCTGGGGGCCGCAGGCGGCTCCCTGCCTCCGTTTTCCCACCTGCAAAATGGACACAAAGAACCCCCGGCGCGGGGAGCAGCCCCGGCGCGAGCAGAGGGAGGCGGTACCTTTAAGAGCATCCCGGCCCTACCTTTGCCTTTGTACCTGCTTTTTTGAACGCGCCGAGCCGCGCTCGCATTGGCGGGCGGCAGCCGTCACTTGCGGTCGGGAGCCCGCCCCCGGCTCGCCGCCCGGCCCCG